CAGCTGTGCCTTGAGTCTTCATATAAAGAGAAATTATGACAATTTGGAGGAGCCATCAATTGAAATCTGGGAGCACTATTCCACAATAAAATATAACTTTTAACTGTGCGTATCACTTTTAAATTCCAAACTAGATTACGATACCTCTTAAACAGGAAGGTGGTAGTGTATAAATGCAGAAAAAATTATTACTTCATCTTTTTGACTCATAAAATAGCACATCTACTAGAGCTGTGCTCCGAAAAGAACAAGCGGTAATAGGAACCTGAGTGCTACCAGAGGAGTTTTAGACATCCAACGGTAATTATTGGATGCAATGTTCTCCTGAAGCATTGACTGACTGCGGTACCAGCCACTATGTCTAACCATCAGAGGGCCTGATCGTGCTGGGTCTGCTATATTTCTTCCTGAATGACCTAACTCCTTTGGGCTGACGCCTAGTGAACCCAGGTCTGCATCACTTCCTGGGTGAAAACGTCCTGAAATCCCATATTCTCCATCCTCCTTGCTACTAGCGTCATCTTTCAGCAAACCCTCGTTTAGCTCCGCCTGTCTGGAATTAAGATGGGAATCCTTCTTCCCGGCATTAGGTAATATGCTTGGTAGAAGAATGCCGTCACGGGGTTCTAGTGATCGCGCAAAACTCTTTGGTACCTGAGGTGTTGGAACTAGAAAGAATTGGTTAGGCGGCAAGCCAGGAGATGTTAGAGAAGACTGAGTGGAGTGTTGGAGGGCCCTAATATTTTTCTCGGCTGCTCGAAGATCAGAAGGCATCTGAATCTTAGGAGAACTGGCTTTCGAAGTAAACTGGCTTGCGTAAGTAGATGAGATAGAATTTGGTACTATATGGGCATAGTTGTAAGTGTACAAAATATAAAATAAAGATAATGAAATTATAAGCATACATATATACATAAATGGGACTGTTATAAGCATTATGGATGCATTCATACACATTTAAACACAGGGAACTTAAGCAAAAATGGCAAATAAGGTTAAAATATGCAGTTTAATATATAAATATAATGTTTCGCGCTATCACTTTGCTGCGTGCAAGCACAGACCGATGCACATTCCTGCACATATATATACATATAGCACGAAGGGTAGTCGGATAGTCTTCGTAACCTAGTATTAACTTAAAGCTCTTGCTGAACATTGTAGTAAAACGAAACGAATTCACAATAAGGATAAGTGGCCGTGTTCTTCTGGTGAGTTCAATCTACAAAGCTTTTCAACAGGAAAGCTCGCACGAAGTAAAACCAGCTAAAATAACGATATCTCAGAAGACTCATCAAAACACATCTTCCCTTCGATTAATAATACCTTATTTGAAGTTAGTCTAGACACAATTGACAAAGGAAATTGAAGCATCTAGTCTTCTGAATAAATATACAGTTGATAGAAATTCACTATAGAGAAAGTTTTGAAACAAAATTTCATACATAAAGTAATAAAGTAATTTGGATTGTCATGAAAAA